ATCGAATATCAACACATTACGCTCACCACCAACCTTCTTGTCCAGACCATACGCGATAGCAGCAGCCGTCGGCTCGTTGATGATTCTCAACACATTCAGACCAGCGATCGCACCCGCATCCTTAGTAGCTTGACGTTGACTGTCGTTGAAGTAGGCAGGAACTGTCACCACTGCATCATTCACCGTCCGACCCAAATACGCTTCAGCCACCTCCTTCATCTTCGTCAACACCATCGACGAGATCTCCTCAGGGAAGAATGTCTTCGTCTCACCCTTGTATTCAACACGGATCTTCGGCTTACCACCCTCATTAATAACACCAAAGGGCCAGTGCTTCATATCACTCTGAACTGAAGAGTCATCAAATCGTCGACCGATCAGTCGCTTCGCGTCGAACACTGTGTTCGTTGGGTTGATCGCCACCTGGTTCTTAGCAGCATCACCAATCAAACGTTCAGTGTCTGTGAACGCAACATAACTCGGCGTCGTTCGGTTCCCTTGGTCGTTGGCAATGATCTCCACTTTCCCATGCTGGAAAACACCAACACATGAATACGTGGTACCAAGATCGATTCCAATTGCGTTCGGCATGATCAAATACAAATCAAATCAATAGGCAGGCACTTCTAACTAACCGTAGAAAACAATTACTCGCATGTTTATAGGTCATACGCCATGGAACATTCTAGAATTTCCAGTGACCTTCACCTCATGTTGGAACAACCAATGGGAATGCTCACAATCGCATTCCAAACTGACCAATCACATCAGGCTGTGGCGTTTTCAATGTTCCAAAAGGACTGTGAACAACAAATAGCAAATTAAAAGTCTCAACCGTGGGAGATACTACAACCCAGAATAATCCATACATTCCACAATGTCAGTGCATTGACTCCCGTCCTCACTGACACTAAGCCTATTCACAAACATCACACCATCTCCATTCTACCCAGAGCCATTATCATTTGTGGTTTCACAAGATGGCTTCAGACACACAATCGGAAGTTTTCCTTTGCCTACTGACAAACAACGAGTAGTAAGAGAGCCTGAGTTAAATATTCAAGCAATAAGGAACGGATTAGGCACCTAAACACTAGGTCATATACCACTCAAAAAAATCCATACCTGTAGGAATGCCAGTGTGTTGATTTGATTCACAAACACACTACCACTCAACGTATTCACAAATGTCGTGACACCCTCATGCAACCCTCAGTCACTGAGGCTTTTCAAAACTTAGCATTCACACAAGAAGCTCTACTTGCTCCACTCTACACAAGAGACTTAATCTCATAAGACAGTTGCACAATCACAGAAGCATCCAGTTTTCTTGATATCAATCAGTGAGTGAGGGACTCATCATAGTGTTCACCTGTTTCTAGGCAACAAATTGATTATGAGTCACAATCTTAGTTTCACCTGTGTTGTCTATCGATCCTCTATGCAGAAATTTACTCACTGTCATGCCTCGATTGATAATCAATTACGAATTCACCAATACTCAAGTAGCAATTTATATGAGTTCTGACAACGAGAAGTCAGATACTTATTCTCTATCAGTGATACAACTCCATACATTCGTGTTATATCCAAAAGTGTATGACGAGAAATTAGTGAATTATTTTTAAGTCTCAGTCATTAGGTTGCAGAGTAAGCTATCCACATAACCTGAGGAGGCCATGGACTGGGTTGAATTGTCAACCAAGTGAATGGGACTCTAAAAGCTTACTGTGTGGAGAGGTTGGAAAGTTGGTCAGAGCACTTTGACGAACAGTCCAACCGCTCCACAAAAATCAACTCAGTTACCTGGTGCCGTAATGACGACAATATCCAAACTGATGCCTTACAACTGCACCATCCACACCAAGCTAACATGAACGGAGACATCGGTCCTCCAGCTGTATTTCGGCCTGATAACATCCTACTAACTGAGGAACTCTACTTGGATTCGTTTACTCGTGTTTGTCTGAAGTGATGATCAAAAGTGGTAGGTACTAGTCAGGGATTCCCACTGTCACCATTACTATCCAATTCAATTCTAGATTTAGCCAAGAATAGGGTCCTGAAGCAACCAACTGTTTCAAAGATAGACACATTACCAGAGAAAAGTATCGTTTATCTAGGGTATACTGATTGACAACACTGTTCTTTTCGCTAAATATGCTGATAAACCACACACACACACACAGTCCTCCTGTGATAAATCTTAGTACACTAGTCATGCCATCAAATAATCAGTTTCATGGGTTGAACATTCATTACAGGTGACAAACACTACACATATAAAAGAATAAGCTAAACTGAATGCACTCTATCAAAACAATAGTAAAAATCACTTCATCCAATCGAGACGGTGCTAAATTCTGTTATACAAACTAGTGAGATACGGATCCCTTTTTGGCGATTGAATGGTATGGTGATCCTGATATGTCTGGAATCGGTCGAAATCCTGTTTTTAAACACACCGGCTGGTTTAGACACAGACCTTTGACAGAGATGTGCAGCAGTTCGATTCGCCTCACTCTATATAGCCAATAAAAGGCAAAACAGATGGGGAAAAGACATTCAAAAGAATCACAATAAGCAGAAATGCACGAAGAAACACCAATAACACAGAGAAAGAATACGTTTAACGGATATAGGAGGTCACAGAGAGTGAAGCCATCTCCGCCATTCAGAACGATTTTGAGTCATTCAAAGAATTGTCTCCAATCATCGCTTGGGTTCTTATCATCTCAAAGACCCCAACCAAGAAGCCTACAACTCTTCCAGACGATATATTCCTCCCTCTTAAGTGAAGACGCTGACAAAATCCAGAGTCTTCTGAACACCCTGATCAAAAAGCAACCCCTCGAATGTTTGGCATGCGATTCTCTCCCTCTGTAAAATGTAAGATGATGCTACAGGACTGGAATACATTGACACTCCTAACTTAAAGATAGGCAGGAAAGAAGTGGTAAAGTGTGTTGACCACTTCACTTATTTGGGAATTTGCATCAGTCAGTGACAGCGAGTTGATTCCTCACGAAATCTCATCACGGATGCACAAGGCTAGTTCCGCATCTCTCGCTTAGTAGACGTGATATCCGGTTAGCTGGCTGGCTATCGACAAAGGGCGTGTGTACTGCTCAGTGCAGCGAAGCAGACCGCTCTGTCCTCCTTAATGGCTGGCTGGCTGTCAGCGAGACATGCCCATTGCAAGTGGAAGATACGAAAAACCTGGCTAGCTGTCTTTCATCAAAGGTGCCTGCGTTCTATCTATATCCCGTGTTCAGTGCTTTGATAAGTCATTGTTCGCCTTCCTCGACCAACGGGAGATCTTAGCTGACTGACATAGGATGGATCAGGTTAGAAAAGAGTCAGCTAGTCCTGGGTGGCCAAACCAAAACCAACATGGCTCCATCAGTCAATGGAATCCACAACACCTAGTTTAAGCCAGCCAGTCAGCCACGGAGGGAGGTGTGAACTGTTCTCCTCGTATGGGTGCTTAAGACGGCCAACTCCACTTCCCAAATAAGTGAAGTGACCAACACTCCCTATCTCTATCTCTAGGCTTGCAGCTGGTGTAGTCCAGTCCTGCAGCGTCACTCCACATTTCACAGGAGCGAATCGCATGCCAAACATTCGAAGATTGCAGCTCAAGGGGATCAGAAGACTCTGCATTTGTCAGCATCTTCATCCACGAGGACGATTACATCCACACATTCTATCCTACACCAACTAGATTATTCTCCGGTAACAAGTCAATCACTAAGTCACTGAAATCAGTTAGTGTCAATCACATTGGCACGTCTATGATTAAATTTTACAGAAGTGGGGACATCAATGGTTGTCATCACCTCAGGTGACAGCTCTCTCCAACACTCCCCTCACTGACAAACATTGTCATAGTACCCCTTTCGCCCACTTCACGTAAAAGAACATGGCAATTCCTGTACCCCAGAAAGCATGCCCATATTCCACAACATGTCGAAGGGTGAAGATATTACCTTCCTCGCCTAAAGTCTGTATCCTCTTCTTGTGGTTGGTTCGCCCAAGCCTCACTTATTCTACGCATCAGTATTCAGCCCACAACTTCATATATGCCATTAGTCAAGCTAATACTAATACCCTTCCCACCAAAACTCCAATCAACATTCCTAATCCACATCGGTAAGACTCATTCCAACCAACTGAATTACCAAGTCTCAACTTCATTACATCACCTTCACATTGCGTAGTCTCCATCCTCCTCAAATCACTCATGCACGCACACAGTCAAGTCACTTCTTACAAATATCCGTCCCAAAAGCCTACCGATACATCGACAATACCACCACAATAACAAATTAACCTACAGTCATGTATTTCAAACCACAACCACAGTCAAGCCGGTCTCACACTTACAACTGATCGCATACTGCTAACCACCCACCCCTAGCATCACAATTCACCATCCTCCACACGAACATCTCAGTTAAGTTATATCAAACAGGCACAAAACAATCAAACCAAACCACACCTCACAGTTAAGACAAATAACTAACCGCCAACTATATGCTTAACAAACACATCAACAACTCCATAAACACAACTCAACGCCTGCCACAATAACGCACTCAAGTCACTTCGTAAAACTATCCGTCTCACAAGGATACTTCCACTACATAACGAAAAGTCGTGTCCAATGAATCACAAACTCGAAGAAACAACAACTGCACACCCAACCCTAAACACCCTTAACCTCTCCTATCAAAAAAACTCCACGTATTCAACACCAAGACCACAGCTCACTCCCGCCACCCCTAACACAACCGCTCGTACACACGACCAGTTTCTCGCATCCGATATCTCAACCTCACAAGTCAACACCTAGTGACAAGTTATACGAAAGACAAGAACTAAACAATAACGCAGTCCTAAAATCACACACTCTTCACGACACCTAACACCAACAACTAACACAACGAACGCTTCCTACACAACGACATCGAACAACAAATCAAAAGTCACAAACAACTCCAAATGCAATCCAAATTTATTTCAATATACCATCATTATCAAAGTTTATACACAAAATCACCTGCCTCTTCTCTTCTCTTCTCTTAGTCAACCTCCTCGATTGTTGGTCCTTTTCCGCCACCGCTGCTAGCACCACCTGCACCTGGAAAACCTTCAGGCATTCCACCCGGCATACCGCCACCACCTGCTGCCTGATACATCTTTGTGATTATCGGTGCACAAACACCCTCCAACTCCTTCTGGTGGTACTCATACTCATCCTTCTCTGCTTGCTGATTCGCGTCTAGCCATTGAATCGTCTCTTCACACTTGCTCAATACCTTCTTACGGTCATCCTCAGGTATCTTGTCCTTCAACTCATCACCCTCAACTCGCTGCTTCATCGCGTACACATAACTCTCAAGTGAGTTCTTCGCAGACACACGCTCTCTCTGCTTCTCATCCTCAGCCTTGAACTTCTCTGCTTCATTCACCATACGCTCAATATCGTCCTTCGACAAACGACCCTTGTCATTCGTGATAGTTATCTTGTTCTGCTTACCAGTACTCTTGTCCGTAGCTGACACATTCAGAATACCATTAGCATCGATGTCGAATGTCACCTCAATCTGAGGAACACCACGAGGAGCAGGTGGAATACCAGACAACTCGAATTTACCAAGCAAATTGTTGTCCTTCGTCAAAGCACGTTCTCCCTCGTACACTTGAATAAGCACACCTGGCTGGTTGTCCGAGTACGTCGTGAACGTCTGAGTCTGCTTCGTCGGGATCGTCGTGTTACGCTTAATCAGTGCTGTCATAACACCACCAGCCGTCTCAAGACCCAGTGACAATGGCGCCACATCCAGCAACAACAAGTCTTGCACTGCCTCAGACTTATCACCACTCAGAATAGCCGCCTGCACAGCTGCACCATAAGCAACAGCCTCATCAGGATTAATAGACTTGTTCAACTCCTTACCGTTGAAAAAGTCCTGAAGCATCTTCTGGATCTTAGGAATACGTGTTGAACCACCAACCAACACAATCTCATGGATCTGAGCCTTGTCCAACTTTGAGTCTCTCAAAGCCTTCTCAACCGGCTCCAATGTACCACGGAACAAATCAGCATTCAACTCCTCAAATCGAGCACGAGTGATCACTGTGTAGAAGTCAATACCATCACACAACGAATCAATCTCCAAGTTCGCCTGTGTACTTGAACTCAGTGTACGCTTAGCACGTTCACAAGCTGTTCTCAAACGACGAATGGCACGCTTATTGTCACTTATATCCTTCTTGTGCTTACGCTTGAACTCTTGCACAAAGTGATTCACCAAACGGTTGTCAAAGTCCTCACCTCCCAAGTGAGTGTCACCAGCAGTAGACTTCACCTCGAATATACCATCCTCAATTGTCAGAATAGACACATCGAAAGTACCACCACCCAAATCGAATATCAACACATTACGCTCACCACCAACCTTCTTGTCCAGACCATACGCGATAGCAGCAGCCGTCGGCTCGTTGATGATTCTCAACACATTCAGACCAGCGATCGCACCCGCATCCTTAGTAGCTTGACGTTGACTGTCGTTGAAGTAGGCAGGAACTGTCACCACTGCATCATTCACCGTCCGACCCAAATACGCTTCAGCCACCTCCTTCATCTTCGTCAACACCATCGACGAGATCTCCTCAGGGAAGAATGTCTTCGTCTCACCCTTGTATTCAACACGGATCTTCGGCTTACCACCCTCATTAATAACACCAAAGGGCCAGTGCTTCATATCACTCTGAACTGAAGAGTCATCAAATCGTCGACCGATCAGTCGCTTCGCGTCGAACACTGTGTTCGTTGGGTTGATCGCCACCTGGTTCTTAGCAGCATCACCAATCAAACGTTCAGTGTCTGTGAACGCAACATAACTCGGCGTCGTTCGGTTCCCTTGGTCGTTGGCAATGATCTCCACTTTCCCATGCTGGAAAACACCAACACATGAATACGTGGTACCAAGATCGATTCCAATTGCGTTCGGCATGATCAAATACAAATCAAATCAATAGGCAGGCTGTTCTAACTAACCGTAGAAAACAATTACTCGCATGTTTATAGGTCATACGCCATGGAACATTCTAGAATTTCCAGTGACCTTCACCTCATGTTGGAACAACCAATGGGAATGCTCACAATCGCATTCCAAACTGACCAATCACATCAGGCTGTGGCGTTTTCAATGTTCTAAAAGAACTGTGAACAACAAATAGCAAATTAAAAGTCTCAACCGTGGGAGATACTACAACCCAGAATAATCCATACATTCCACAATGTCAGTGCATTGACTCCCGTCCTCACTGACACTAAGCCTATTCACAAACATCACACCATCTCCATTCTACCCAGAGCCATTATCATTTGTGGTTTCACAAGATGGCTTCAGACACACAATCGGAAGTTTTCCTTTGCCTACTGACAAACAACGAGTAGTAAGAGAGCCTGAGTTAAATATTCAAGCAATAAGGAACGGATTAGGCACCTAAACACTAGGTCATATACCACTCAAAAAAATCCATACCTGTAGGAATGCCAGTGTGTTGATTTGATTCACAAACACACTACCACTCAACGTATTCACAAATGTCGTGACACCCTCATGCAACCCTCAGTCACTGAGGCTTTTCAAAACTTAGCATTCACACAAGAAGCTCTACTTGCTCCACTCTACACAAGAGACTTAATCTCATAAGACAGTTGCACAATCACAGAAGCATCCAGTTTTCTTGATATCAATCAGTGAGTGAGGGACTCATCATAGTGTTCACCTGTTTCTAGGCAACAAATTGATTATGAGTCACAATCTTAGTTTCACCTGTGTTGTCTATCGATCCTCTATGCAGAAATTTACTCACTGTCATGCCTCGATTGATAATCAATTACGAATTCACCAATACTCAAGTAGCAATTTATATGAGTTCTGACAACGAGAAGTCAGATACTTATTCTCTATCAGTGATACAACTCCATACATTCGTGTTATATCCAAAAGTGTATGACGAGAAATTAGTGAATTATTTTTAAGTCTCAGTCATTAGGTTGCAGAGTAAGCTATCCACATAACCTGAGGAGGCCATGGACTGGGTTGAATTGTCAACCAAGTGAATGGGACTCTAAAAGCTTACTGTGTGGAGAGGTTGGAAAGTTGGTCAGAGCACTTTGACGAACAGTCCAACCGCTCCACAAAAATCAACTCAGTTACCTGGTGCCGTAATGACGACAATATCCAAACTGATGCCTTACAACTGCACCATCCACACCAAGCTAACATGAACGGAGACATCGGTCCTCCAGCTGTATTTCGGCCTGATAACATCCTACTAACTGAGGAACTCTACTTGGATTCGTTTACTCGTGTTTGTCTGAAGTGATGATCAAAAGTGGTAGGTACTAGTCAGGGATTCCCACTGTCACCATTACTATCCAATTCAATTCTAGATTTAGCCAAGAATAGGGTCCTGAAGCAACCAACTGTTTCAAAGATAGACACATTACCAGAGAAAAGTATCGTTTATCTAGGGTATACTGATTGACAACACTGTTCTTTTCGCTAAATATGCTGATAAACCACACACACACACACAGTCCTCCTGTGATAAATCTTAGTACACTAGTCATGCCATCAAATAATCAGTTTCATGGGTTGAACATTCATTACAGGTGACAAACACTACATATCTTAAAGAATAAGCTAAACTGAATGCACTCTATCAAAACAATAGTAAAAATCACTTCATCCAATCGAGACGGTGCTAAATTCTGTTATACAAACTAGTGAGATACGGATCCCTTTTTGGCGATTGAATGGTATGGTGATCCTGATATGTCTGGAATCGGTCGAAATCCTGTTTTTAAACACACCGGCTGGTTTAGACACAGACCTTTGACAGAGATGTGCAGCTGTTCGATTCGCCTCACTCTATATAGCCAATAAAAGGCAAAACAGATGGGGAAAAGACATTCAAAAGAATCACAATAAGCAGAAATGCACGAAGAAACACCAATAACACAGAAAAAGGATACGGTTTAACGTATATGGGAGGTCACAGAGAGTGAAGCCATCTCCGCCATTCAGAACGATTTTGAGTCATTCAAAGAATTGTCTCCAATCATCGCTTGGGTTCTTATCATCCCAAAGACCCCAACCAAGAAGCCTACAACTCTTACAGACGATATATTCCTCCCTCTTAAGTGAAGACGCTGACAAAATCCAGAGTCTTCTGAACACCCTGATCAAAAAGCAACCCCTCGAATGTGTGGAATGCGATTCTCTCCCTGTGTAAAATGTAGGATGGTGCTACAGGACTGGAATACATTGACACTCCTAGCTTAAAGACAGGCAGGAGAGAAGTGGTGGAACTTATTTGGGAATTTGCATCAGTCAGTGACAGCGAGTTGATCTCTCACGAAATCTCATCAAGGATACAGAAGGCTAGTTTCGCATATGACAACTCACGCCATCTTTCGCTTAGTAGACGTGATATCCGGTTAGCTGGCTGGCTATCGACAAATGGCGTGTGTACTGCTCAGTGCAGCGCAGCAGATCGCTCTGTCCTCCTTTATGGTTTGCTGGCTGTCAGCTAGACCTGCCCATTGCAAGTGGAAGATACGAAAAACCTGGCTAGCTGTCTGTCATCAAAGGTGCCTGCGTTCTATCTATATCCCGTGTTCAGTGCTTTGATAAGTCATTGTTCGCCTTCCTCGACCAACGGGAGATCTTAGCTGACTGACATAGGATGGATCAGGTTGGGAAAGTGTCGGCTAGTGTTGGGTGGTCAAACCAAAACCAACATGGTTTCATGAGTCAATGGAATCCACATCAATTAATTTATCGCTAGCTTCGAAATAAAGCGACTCCTCCACCATTCTATAAGTGTTGATTATGTAGGTAAGCGAGAATATATGCATGATGTTAAACACTACAGAATGATTAATATAACTGCTGGAAATTTCGCCGTATTTCGACCTTTTTGTTGAGTTAAACAGGGTACTCTTCCAACCGATTGCGACCCCAACCAGGTGAAACGGCCGTCCTATGCTAGTAAGCAAGCACTATTGATATATATGATTAATGGAATCTAAATACATATATATCAGTCAATCAGTATTAGTTGACGTCATGTATTTACTCAAAAGGATGTTGTGTTTTTGAGTTCTCGCTGCCGTTTAAATTCCTTAACTAGGTTCACTAGTAAACTCAATGTTTAGAGAACAGAAACATTTTGTAATGTCATTTGTCATGCATGCTGCGTGGATTCTAGAGACAGAAGTATTTACAACCAATAGCTTATCCAGTTAATCTTCATACTTAAATTACAAAATCTATTTAGCTAACCTCAATAAATCATACAACCTACGTTAATATATAAATATACAGTCGTTTATTTCACCTTAGAAAAATGGCCTGATCGTGTCTGACCTACAATGGCTGTTGCTAAGGCATTCATGTATATAGAATTTTATAGATGAATTTACATTAAAGTAAGAAGAATTCCAGTCATCCTACTGAAGTGCACACTATATTGTATATACGGTATTACTATGGGTACAGGTGTGTGTGTGTGTGTATGTTGTGTATAGATTAGCTGAAGTCGTTTCAGAAAATCGATACAATCTACTTTCAGCAATGAATATTTTGTGTGAGTGGGTGTTTGTAAATTTCAGATATTTCATAATGGAAACTAAAATATTTGCAAGTCTTTTTTCTACCCTTCGTTAATCAATAATAACTTTTAGATATGCTCAAGAGGACATAAAAATGAGCTGATAAAATCGACGGCATAAATTTTGTATAGTGATGTATAAAAATTAAATTATAGGCCTACAAATTAATCTGCATTTGCACTCAAATATACTCGAACATACTATGACTGAACACTAATTAACTGGTGTCGTGTGTCTAATCTACTCCCATGTTTGGTAAAGACTGAATTCTATCAATCAAGTTTGCAATATGGCTATCATGTTAGGTGGTTCGTCATCACTGTAGACAATGTATTGTTGATATTACCTGGTTAGAAGCAACCGGTAGGAGGAGCTCTGAACCTAGATTTCGTGCTTGTTAGCACTCGTCAGCAAACTGAACTGATAGAATTCAGTCTGCACCAAACAAAGGACTAGACACGTAGTACAAGTTAATTAGCAGCACTGGTAGACGCGTATTCAAATCTCAAAAGGGATATGAATGCCTTCAAGGCTGCAGATATGTCTTGTTGACGAGCACAAAGAAGCAGGAAACCTAGACTCAGGGATTCCTTCTGATTGCCTCCAACCATCATCCATTATGCTCGAACATATTTTGATGACTGAAAGTAGGCGAAATAATGCTAGGCTAATCAAATACTTTAGAATATATGTGCACGAATACTAGTTTGCTCACAGTTCTGTCTCTTTCGTATGACTTGGCAACATTTCATTTACTGTCAGTCCAATATTTGGTTATGTTTGAATTAACCATAGTAACACAGTACATAGCAGACTGTCACCTAGGCGTTGAAAACACGTAATACGCATTATACTGCATCCTGCTGATTTTAAAACAAGCAATAACGGTTAATAAAGCAGGACTTAATGAATTCATCAAATTTCGGTAGAACTCGTCAGCTGACTACTCTACATACACGGATATATACTTTCGAAGTTACATTGGGAGATATAAGACTAATAAGTAAACAAACTACATTGAATCAGTCATGCAGAAAGACAGGTGTGAATGTTTTTCCAGGTCATGTTCAAATAAATATAAAGGGAGAGAGAGTATGAGAGATCAAAATTAAGGTAAATTGCATTACGCTTCAATTACATCACTTAGATAAACAATTAGACACTAGAGAATATAACAAGAATTGCAAACACAGTGATATCAATAGTAATAGTTATAATAACAACAATAATAATAATAACAGTGTTGAAGTGAGTTAAGATAATCCTACTGATAAAGGATAGTTTCAAATGAATCAATAATAATAATAAGAGGTAGAATTATAAGTAAAGAATTATAAGTATTGATTAATTGATTGATATGCAAAGTTGGATAACGTTTACATCAACCAATAGAGCTTGGTAGCCAGCTAGATGGTATTGATCTAAACCCTGGACAGTTAGTTGTTTTGCTCGATCCCAATGGTAAACACTGTTGGTTGATATGAATGGCATCGAACTACTTATGCCAATCAATTTATATATATATACATATATATATATATATATATATATATATATAATGATGGATATGATGATTGCACAGGAAGTGGCTGTCAATTACTCAGTTCCCTAGAGGATAACACTCTGATGTTAGAAACAATGTTGTACTGAGTTCGAATCACAACATGAATATTCTGATTCACTGGTATCCACGGCGGGATCTGGTTAACGGTTTCTTGGAAAGGCATATTACCAACCAACCAACAAACCAAATAAATGAAATCATTGCGACCACCTGTTGAAATAAAATTACGCCATAGTAGCTTCAAATTTTTCTGAGAGTAGATAAAAATTATGGTGTAACTGCTATGATTATTTTCAGTTTATTCGAAAACTATATTCTGTTAGGTCCGTCACACATCGGCAGAATGCTCGCCAACCAAGCAGGTGGTTTGGCGTCCCAACACCGGCCACCGATGCACTCACTTACCTCACTAAACCGGTAATGAGACTGGTAAAGACGGAAGGTTGAGCATGAGGCTGGCTAGCAACCCCATCCGGTAAAAATGAACACCACTGCTACCGAAACTTCAAGCCTCTAGCTTGAAGCCCTATGTTCCACTGGGGAA